ATAGATAAGGTATAAAGACAGAGTATATAGATAGAGTTTATAGAGTATATAGATCATTCACTATTCAATGTCCTCTGATGGCAAACTTCACCTCCAACGCATTGAGACTTCTCCTTATCCTCGAAGCTGCCTTATCCACATGGTCAAATATATCAAAGGGCCTTATTAAAGTGGTGGCTGTAATCCAATGTGTTGGGTCGAAATGCACGGATATCGCAGGCTGACAGTAAACCACAACAAAGCCTGCCAACACGCCGTTAAAAAGTGAGCAGAGGAGAAAAAGAAATATGTGTAAGGACGCAACAAAACAGTAGCCATTATACTTTTGCTGGTAAAGTGGTCATAATGTTTCATCCCATCGCGATGAGGATTTGCTTAAAACAGTGTGGGATTCGCATAAGTTGAACGTGGTCAAAGAGAAATTGTTCAGTCCTAAGGGCAAATTATGTAAACTAAAGTATACATATAGAGCAAATTGACCAGTAGTAAAATGTACCTACCGCGACATACATTAATGGACCGGTTGAGAGCTCTGATTGTAGAGCCTGAGAAGAATCAAAAGGCTTCTTCTTCTTCTGCTACCTCTTCTATTTCTTCTTCTTCTTCTTCTTCTTCTTCTTCTTCTTCTTCTCTACTACTACTACTACTACTACTACTACTACTACTACTACTACTACTACTACTACTACTACTACTACTACTACTACTACTATAACTACTACTACTACTACTACTACTACTACTACTACTACTACTACTACTACTACTACTACTATTACTACTACTACTGTTTCTTCTTCTTCTTCTTCTTCTTCTTCTTCTTCTTCTTCTTCTTCTTCTTCTTCTTCTTCTTCTTCTTCTTCTTCTTCTTCTTCTTCTTCTTCTTCTTCTTCTTCTTCTTCTTCTTCTTCGCATTTGTCGTCTGTAAATTCCGGGGGCAAGACCCAGTTGTTCGTCCACTTTTAACTTGCGTTTTCCATGTACATTCCTTTTGCACATAAGGCCTAATTATGTGTAGATGGCTGGTTCCTAGCCACTCAGGTGCATTGCGACAAAGAAGGAAGACTCCTTAATTAGTCGACCTTTATGAAAATGCTCGTTCTTGGGAGGACGGGTGTGAATGGGTAGTGGGTTTATCCTAACCCCCCCCCCCCCCCCCAACTTCCCGACACTGGGTGCAAGAGGCTACTATCAGGGGAATACAAACCCCCCCCCCCTCTTTTTTTTTTTCCTCCCCCTCCCCCGTATACAAAACAAACAACGCCAACAACATTTTAAGGAAATACTTTTGAATATTATTAGTAGCCAATTACAGTTAGTGACTATGAGGCAAACCGGTATCATTCATACTGAAACAGACAAACAGGTATCGTTCATACTTAAACAGACACACAGGCAACGTTTATACTGAAATAGACACACAGGCAACGTTTATACTTAAATAGACACACAGGCAACGTTTATACTTAAATAGACACACAGGCAACGTTTATACTTAAATAGACACACAGGCAACGTTTATGCTGAAATAGACACACAGGCAACGTTTATACTTAAACAGACACACAGGCAACGTTTATACTTAAATAGACACACCTTCAACGTTTATACTTAAATAGACACACAGGCAACGTTTATACTGAAATAGACACACAGGCAACGTTTATACTGAAATAGACACACAGGCAACGTTTATACTGAAACAGACACACAGGCAGTAGGTGGCAGACGAAGGTGGTGGGTGCTAAAGGTGGGCGGGTGGTTGCTGGGAAGAGAGATAGAATTTTCCAACCACATAAAATTAAAACATGGAGAACGAAGTGGGAGGGGGGGGGGGGGGCGGTGGCCTACCTCGAAAATTATTAAGTAATTTAGGCGATCCCCCCTTATCCATGCATTTAAGTGTTTATTCACTTAATAATCTTTTTAAACGATATATTTTTGATTCATCATATTATTTCCCTACTAGATAAACAGCCTAAGGGTGATGTTGAAGTAAAGGAACGAGAGGAAATAGCTATGAAGGGTAATATGAAAATCTACTCCTTGAACATATTTCTACTCCAAGTCTACACGAAAAAAAAAAGTTCGTTAGGCGAGAGCTAAGACCAGTTGTGTCTTAACCTTGACAGGGTATGTTCTGTATAAAACCTAATCAGAAGTAACAATCAAACTAGGCACACTAACTACAGGTCCTAATCCAAATCAAAACAACTGGAACTATAATCATCACAATGTTTTTTGTTTTTTTTTTACTGGTTTACAAAAAACAAAAATGTAACAACCAATATCGTGTTCACACAGGCCGCGCAGTAAGCACCCCCTATAATAAGGAAAGAGTTCGCTTTAGTGACCTGAAATAATAATCTCTGAGGGATGATACACATTGATATCTAGATATACACAGTTTAACTTCTGAAATCGTACCACCGTTGCGAAGTCAGCTAGACAAACCTCCCATCTCCACTCAGTCGACCGAACTCATGCTGCTCAGCTCATGTGCGGTGCTGTCGTCGCTGGGTGGGATCCTTTATCCCTAGGGCGACTGGGGGTCAGAATGCTTGAAACCAAAAAGACCATTTTCTCGGTGCGTCGACCTTTTAATAACCTTCTAGTCTCCTAGCTTCCAGTTTTTTCGCAAGTCCAGTCAATTCAAAATAGCTTTTATCACCTGCCACATTATTAATATTATTATTAAAATTATTATGCTCTTGAAAGCAGATTATTTTCCCTTGACCCACCATCTTCCCTGGCATATTGTTTTTACAACTTATAGGGTTAGTTAGGTTGACGGAGGCGGGGGAAGGTAGTAAAATTATGTTTAGGTAGCTGTTTTTAATTAACATGTAGCAATGTAACTCCAGCGTTGTATATTTAAACAGTTGTCTGCCCTCTTCAGGCTGACTCAAGAAACAAAATGATCACTTGATTTTTGCAAGATTTCGTCAGTGTTGACGTCGTTCTAATCTGGACTAATGGATCACTCAGTCCTGTCGTTTTTATTATTAAAATAGTTGCAAATGTGGTGATTCACAACAAATCGAGTTACATGTTGACAAAAACAACAACAAAAACTGCCATTGAAGTTGGCACAATGCCAACAAGCTACAGTAGTGACATATCTGGAACCAAGGAGTGGTTTTTCGCCAGAACTCAGCAAGAGCATAAAAGGCGCCAGGAATTTTTGACCATAACACCATCGGATGTTGCAGATCAGCACCAAGACATTCACTTTCTCCACAGATTCGCCCTGAACAGGAGGATTGTCATCAGAATCAGCGATTGTCATAAGAACGCTTTCTGTTTCTGCAGTTCGTCTCAAATGACGAGTCCTCGGCCTTTCGGGCTGAATTTGACCAGCAGGGAACTAGCATGCATCTGCAGGTTGGGATATGTCAAGTGTTGATTTGGCTGATAGTGCTGCAGTTAGTTCTGTGTCGGGAGCAGTGTTGTGTGAAGCTGGAAAAGAAGATGCGCCGAGTCATTAAAGAGACTTGTAAGTACTATCTAATCTATATCTATCTATCTATCTATCTATCTATCTATCTATCTATCTATCTATCTATCTATCTATCTATCTATCTATCTATCTATCTATCTATCTATCTATCTATCTATCTATCTATCTATCTATCTATCTATCTGTCTATCTGTCTATTCTGTCTATCTGTCTATCTGTCTATCTGTCTATCTGTCTATCTGTCTATCTGTCTATCTAATCTGTCTATCTATCTATCTATCTATCTATCTATCTATCTATCTATCTATCTATCTATCTATCTATCTATCTATCTATCTATCTATCTATCTATCTATCTATCTATCTATCTATCTATCTACTATCTATCTATCTATCTATCTATCTATCTATCTATCTATCTATATCTATCTATCTATCTATCTATCTATCTATCTATCTATCTATCTATCTACCCGTCCGTCAATCTGTCTGTGTCTGTCTGTCTCTCTGTCTGTCGGTCGGTCGGTCTGTCGGTCTGTCTGTCTGTCAGTCCATGAATTTAATTATTTATGAAGAGAATAATGAATACTACAGCCTACTGTGTGTGTGTGTATGTATATATATATATATATATATATATATATATATATATATATATATATATATATATATATATATATATATTATAAAGCCTTCCACAACAAATAAGCTCTGTAAGAATGTGTAGACTTCTGTACATTTAAACATAGAGACTGGGCACAATGGTGTCACTTCACTCTGAGTTTTCTATGAACTGGTCAAAGTACACACAAGCTAATGTATGCAAGCTTATTTTTTTTTGCTAGGAAGTCCCGCACTGTGAAACGACATGGAGTCTGTTGACAATGGAATGCATAAACCTTATGAAACTTCTTCTTTACGTCCTATCTTACCGCTTCGGGTATCGAGGGAGCTATAAGGTCCTGCTTTGTGCTCTTCTGGCTGCTGTAACCATAGACACATTTTGGTGCTGTAGAGTTTCTCTGATGTTATCTTTTCATCTTGTTCTTGGTCTACCTCTTGCTCTACAACTTTTTTTTTATATGCCTTGTATGAACTTGCACCAGGAAAGACGACATAACAGCTTTCACATGCGATGTCTAAGAAGAATACTTTGCATTAAGTGGCAGGACAAAATCACAAACACTGAGGTACTGAGAAGAGCAGGTACTACAACAGTCTTGTCCATGCTCAGTCTACGAAGGCTCAGATGGATGGGTCACACCTGGAAAATGGAGGATGGCAGAGTCCCTAAGGACATCCTTTATGGTGAATTAAAGACAGGAAGAAGATGTCGAGGCCGACCTCTACTACGATATAAAAATGTGTGCAAGCGGGACATGAATGATACAGGTATTGAGATGGACTCATGGGAACAAAATGCCATGGACCGTGTTATGTGGAAAGAGCATATCTTGAAGGGAATGAGACTGAAGAAAGAAATGACTGCAGAAAGGATGAGAGCTGAGCGTCTGAAAAGAAAAGAGTTAAACACAAATCTTGACTACAATGGTCCTGAAATCTCATGCTATCATTGTGGAAGACTTTTCTTGACACGGGCGGGTCTTGCTAGTCACACTCGCCATTGCCATGGCTGTGAGTCCCATGCCTCCTCATAGCGCAATATAACACTATCGTCTGGAAAAGACGAAAAGGTGCCAATAATGCCTCGTATGGTATAGCATCAGGAGGCATTCTCTCCAAGTGGGCGCTCATGAAACTACCAGCCTAAATCTTATAATTAGGGAAACAGGGGCAACACATGGTCCCTATAATACCGCCTAGGCTTTGTGCTATGGAGATGAGGAACATCATCACTGGACTTTACTTGTATCGCCATAGATGGAATTCCCATTTCTTCCTACAGCACAGTGGAACGCTATCGCCTAGAAAGAAATCTGCGCAAATTTGCTTTGCTGAATTTATGACCTACTTACATTTTGATATGAATCTCAGAAGCTGCAGTTACAGTACCGGTCTTAGAGACCCCGCCGGTTTCTAAGCTTGAAGAAGGTAAGGGGATATCGGCTACGCAGTCAACGTGAAAATGGTGCTTTATTACTAAACGTGGGAAAGGGAGAGGGAAGTGTTGGTAGATGCCTCCTAGTGAATATCCTTGAGGTTTTTACCTACCCGACCAGCTAACTTTCTGCCAGTTTCTCTTATAGATACCTTTCTTCACCTCTTACATATAGTGGAATAAAAAAAAGTTATCTCAATTCGCAAGTTACTGCTTCTATGATCTGAAATATGCTTTTTTTTTCTTCCTTGGATTCATTGGTTTTAAACGTCAACATTAACATTATGGTTGTCTGTCCACTTCTGCACTTTGGTCTTGTTCCAAAACATGCACATCCGTTTTACAAATCTTTGGATGCACACTGTTAGTTAATCGTCTCTCAGGCAGATGCACTGCCCCTTCAAAAGATACATAAATAACTAGTCCACTTTTACGTCATGATTGTTAGGGGTAGCGGATCTATTCTTCCTCCCTTCCCCTCTCCCCTTTTTTCAAAATGGGGTTCCGAACCCCACATGGGGAGAATGAAGACTTACAGAAATTGTACGATAAGGTGCGAATCACAAGCGGATGCATTGTCTAGTCCAATAAAAAGAATTGTATAAATTGGAGGAAAGGTAACTCAAGGGTCTCTGTGCTAGCGTCACCGGACTAAAGACACGCATGTTGTGTGGAACAGAAGACTTTCAAGACTCAAAACCCAATGAGGAGATTAATTAACCAGCAGTCTAGTTAGCATAATTTTCCAAATATTCCCCCACTTTCCCTTTGAGTGCATGGCAAGCGACACCCCCCTCCCCACCCCCCTCCTCCACAGCATAATAAAATAGGATTTGAACAATGACGACAAGACAAATCCCAAGAATTCCTGTTAACTAGTAGTAAAAGTAAAAGTACAGGACCGTTTTCCACGCCATTAGGCGTGTAGGGCATATAGGGCTAGACCTATATTTTTATAGATCAGTCGGCACAAGATGGGTGATAGGGTCAGCATCACGCCGGTCTTCTTTACTTCCCAGGGCTGCACCCGGTACCCACTCAAGGCTGGATCGACCTTGTCATTTTTGAAAAAAGTGTGGCCCCGCCAGGTAGCGAACACCGACCTTCTGATCCGCGGCGAGCGTCTAGCCGCTCGGCCACGGCGACTTCCGTTGTTAAATAGAACTTCGAGAAAAACATACACACAACCAAAGTGTCAAATAACAAAAGAAACACCGCCAACTACTGGTAATTTAATGTCCAAACATCAGTGAAATGGCTGACACAGATTTGTCTTTATGGTATCTGTGTTTTTTTTTTTTTTTGGGGGGGGGGGTGGAAGGAGGGGGGGTCAGATGTTGAACAAAGCATAAAGGAGATCAGTCTCCACATAAAGCTGGCAACGTTGTTTTATTTTCATGACTGTTAAAGCTAAACATCCGGATTATTACGTGACAAAATGCACCCGAATTCAAAATTTCCTGATGATCTATTAAAACATCCAAACGCCCAAAATGCCACCTCCCCTCCCCCCCCCTCCCCCCACCCCCCCCCCCCCCTCCCCTCCCAACTCAAGTTACAGACCACACGTACAGAAGAAAAGATGCTAATATATTGATAGCTGTTTTGTTAATTGTCATCTGTGAAGACACATGATTTTATTTGTTTGTTGTATAAAAGATACAGTTTGAAACAATGTGGAGCTGTTCATTTTAATTGTCACAGCTTCAGCCAAATGCGGTACATGTGTTTCCCAGAGTGATACCTGTAATAGCGTAGTAGAACATATCCTTAAATAGCTCCACACATAAATAAAATAAGTGAAGATCCTACAAGTGTGTTTTAAAATCGAGCAAGCGAAAAGAACCCAACTCTACACAGGAGGTCACTAAAAGAAGGCCGAACATAGTGGAATATTAGATAAAAGACAGTTAGCCCTCAGTCGAACATCCTTCTACACGTGTGTATTGAAAGATGCTAATGTATTGATACCTGTTTTGTTATTTGCCATTTGCGAAGACATCATCATCATCAGTGTGTGGCATGCCGGCTGGAATGGGCGATTTGCAAGTGCGTGTATCAGTTCGTGTTGACACCACAAGACGCTATGACCCAAGACTGTCAAGAATCTTACTGCGCTATCTTCCTCTGTCTCTCTTTCCACAGATCTTTTCAGTGGTCACAAAATGTTCCATTTTCCCTCTTCTCATAACATGATTAAAAAATAATAAGTGTCTCTTTTTGATGTTTCTGATCAGTTGTCTTGGAGCACTTGCCTCTTTCAAAACATCTTGTTGCTCTTCTTGGCTGTTCAAGGAATTCTAAGGATTCTTTTGTAAATTCGCATCTCCGAGGCCTCAAGATATCGTTCGGCTTGTTTATTAATTGTGCAGGATTAACAGCCGTATGTTAAAACTGGCTCTATATAGCATGTGATAATTCTTTTCCTTACCTCCAATTACGTGGATTTATTGCACAAACTGTTATTATTCATTTTATAAGTATCGGCTTGTCCTATTCTGTTCTTTATCGCTGTGATACATCTTTCATCGGATGTTATCCATCTGCATCGCTACTAAAATTTATGTATTTGTCCTAAAATAACGCCTTCGACTTTGCGAATGTACGCGGCTTAAAGATGCCAGATAACGCGAAGGTAACCTGCAAAGTATGTACCTAATTCTTTCATGTGTCGCCATGGTTTATGTGGCTGACACACCTTATTGATGGTGCTACTTTATTGATTTGTTAAATAAAGATACAGTCTGCACTAGAGGGATTGTTCATTTTAACTGTCACAGCTTCAGCCAAATTCAGTAGCCGGATATTTATTTCCCAAAGGAATACCTGCAACAGAGTAGTAGAACATAACAGTATTTCTAAATGACTACACACACACACACACACACTCACACACACACTCACACACACATGCACACACACAGAGAGAGATGTGTGGAGATCCCACAAGTGTCTTGGGATCAACTAAGAGTAGAGA